GTCTAGAATGAGAATGGTGCTGTCAGTTTTAATATGCCGTGTCCCTCCCCCAGAAAGACATGTGAAGACCCATTGGTCCTATATTGTTTTCTTTATCTCTGGAGCTTGAAGAGGAATCTTTACGTTGCAGAGATTTGTATGAATCCTCAGTACTGTTTTATCACTAAGGAAGTGAATGTTGATGAGGAAGAGTGAATAAAAGAGTCTAGTAAAACCTAGTATCTGATGGGGGCAAACCTTATGATGAAAATCCTAAGACCCAGAGAGCCCAGTCTTTCCAGGTGTCCAGGGATCCAGGGTGTGAATGAAGAGGGAAAGAAATAGAGAGGAAGTCAGAGAGACAAATATAGACCCAGAGACAGCAAAAAGGAGCAGACAATAGGAAAACTTTGAGAAGGAACTTCAGAGTTAACTGCATAAGGTGTGATATGTCAGAGTCCTAGAGAGAATATTTGGTCAAAGAGGTATTTAAATTCCTTATCTTGTCTTTATTTGCCCCTTTTCAGCTTAAACACTAAGACATTTGAGTCATTGATTTATCAAACACACAGTCTGAAATAAAAATGTAATGCAATAACCCATGCATTCTTGCAACAAGAATTCAATTTAAGATAAGATTTCAATGTGAGAATTAGATTTTAGAGGAATGGTCAACATTCACTCAGTCTGTCATACAGCTGGAGCTGTAACTGTGAACACTGAAAAACAGATTCTACATCAAACTTTACCATAGTATGTAAAATTGCTCTTTTTCCAGAAAGCTTATGTTACTGAAATCAAGTTTGTTTTCAATAAACTTCCAAAAAAATCATTGGCATATATGGATATGGATAAATGTGCCCTTACTCCTCTAGATAGATTTCTTTGAGCTTTTAATATGTCTTAATTTACATATTATATATTTCAGTAGTCTGATTGCTCACTTTCAGTGGGTCTCTTTTCAACAGCTATTTTGAAGAGGTTTGTATTTATTTTAATTAGAAAGCATATTTGGTTATGATGTAGTTCTTAAATACATATACATGGGAAAATAGATTTATTCCCAAATAAAATGCTCAATAGTACATTTATGATTATCTAGATTTTTCAGCTCTAACTTCTATTTAGGAGGCAGACATTAAGGTACATAGGTATGAGTCTGAGTAGTACAATTTCTTCAGTCCTTTTGTTCAAGTTTCTCTAAATATACCTGCCAAAATTCACTGAAGACTAACCTCTGGGACTTGAAAACAAAGAAAGAAGAAAAGAAAAAAAAAACGTTCCCTTTTGTTTCCAAAGCTATATTGGGCTTTTATTTAGTTGAGGCTTGAGACCTAAGTGACACTCCCCTGATATGTACATAGGAGTGATTTGAATGAGAACAAAGACACAAGAATGTTAGTGGAGGTGCCTAACACACAGCTCAGCCTTTCATATTTAAAACGTTGTCTGAACCTGCAAGAACACTATTGGACCCAATGTTTAAGTTTGAGCATTTTTTTCCCCTTTGTTTAGTTCCAATTCCAATGAGAGAGGATTTTTTTGTGAGTGTGTGACAAGTAAGAAAAAAAAAATTAGTATCTGCTCAATGGTGGTAATGGAAGAAAATACAGAAGTAGATAATAAAGCAAGCACCCCAATGGTTTGTTTGAAATTTGGAAGTGAAGGTGGGGTGAAACAGATGGGTCATTAGGCTTTGAGGGTGTGACATTTGGAAGCTAGAGTAACATTTTCTTTGAAACTGTGAACAAACAGCTTGGGAATAGTCTATGATGTTCTTTTCTGATACTGATTTTATTCCATTTGTCTCAGGGCACTGAAAAGCAAGTGTTGATTAAATTGTCTTGCTCTAATTATTATGCTGGAATGTATTATCTTTAAAATATTTTGACTTCTTATACTTGATTTCAGTATAACTGAAACTTAAGCTTTTATACAGGCCCATTTAAAGAAATGAAATCTTTCTGAGGTTTTTGTTATGGGGCTACTCTTCTGGTTTACATTAGTTTCTTAGAGTGCTGTTCGTGGCGTGTTTACACAACTGCATTGTATCTTTGAGCTAGAAGTGACTATAGCAATGTGAAAATAAATGAAGACCAAACAAATGAGAATAGGCAAAGGCTATTTATTCAGAGCTTGCATTTGGCAGAGATTCAGGCAGACATAGGAGTGGAAAAGCTTTACGGTGGAAAAATAAATGTGTTAAATAAAATTTGGCCTAAAGCTGACTCTGTATGTAGTGAACTGCAACCTAACTCAATATGTAAACAAACTGCAACCTAACATAAGATTATATTTTTATAACAAGTAACTGAATCTTGACCAATCATAGCAGCTGAGAAACACGTCCAAATAAGGCCAAGGCTGGACTCTGACAAATCAAGATATTTCTGTATGTCATTTCAATTTTTCTTTCTAGAAATAATGTTTTCCCACATTGCTGGGTGGAGCTCTCTGATCCTTTATTGGTTCAGGGTGCTGCCCAATTCATGAATTGTTTCTTTGTTCAAATAAACTCTGCTAAATTTAATTTGTCTAAAGTTATTCTTTTAACAAAAAGAAGGTGTCATATGTTTCTTGATTCGAGGCTATTTCTTGGGAAAGAGGTAAGCAGGCTAACAAGAAGTGGGTCATCCTTTGTGATTGGTTAAAAGTGTATATTTGGCTTTCTCCACGGGATCCTAAGTTGGAAACTGTGCCCAAAACTGGGGAAGCAGCAAGTTATTAATCAAGTGTTGACTGTTTGGGGCCAGTAGTTACATGGGCTATTTATTATTTGGCTTTGGATTAGTTACCACAGACAGTGATCTGACTTCTTATAATTCTGATTTGTATATAGTGGGTTGGCTTCCTGGACTGGTACTATAGAAATGGGTTAATTTTCCATTTGTATGCTCAGACTCTTAGTGATTATCTATCTGTATTTAGAAAGATTAAATAAATTCCTAAAGGACAAATGGCTATACTTCATTTAAATGAATACTACTTTTTATTTCTGTGTCACTTTATAGCTTTTAAAATAATTTAAAATGTAGAATATCATTAGATTATTCAAATACAATCAGGGAAGTTAGGTTTGGTTGATATTGTCTCCATTTTGTAGGTAAGAAAAAATGAGGAGAAACCAAATACTCCATTGCATGGGTCACCAGCCAGAGCTGCAAAGCTAAAGTCTCCGGGATTCCTGATCCAGGCTGCCTAATATATTACAACCTATTGTATCTCTGCCTAATAGATTCAGGAAATCAAATTGTGATATTTGTATTATTACACTGCTGAATATGTTGAATATTTTAACCTAAATTAAAAAAACACAGATTCTTTTAATCATTTCTGTGATTTTTTTTTTTTTTACTATAGCCTTTCTCAAAATTTTCTTATTTGAATTAAACTTTTAATCTGGTGAATTTTTCAACTTGTGATTGTTAGATAATCAGATTTTTGAAAATGCCATTAGCTCCATGCTACTTTAATACATTTATTATCACTTGGTTATCTTTTCTATTATGAATGTTGCATTTCCTACACAGACCAGAAAGATGCTTTAGGAGTTGAGAAACCTACTAAATAAGCAAATAAATAAAATTAAATTCCCATTGAGCAATATGCTAGGTGATGAAGGCACCAAATTTAAAAAACGTAAAAGAAACCCAAAACGCAGTATCTGCCTTCAAAGAACTTTCGGGGGAGAGCAGATATAAGGCAGTGGTGTTCCTTGAATACAGTGTTTGTTGGGGTGTGGCAAAGTTAGAGAAGAAGGGAAGAGCAAAATAATGGAGATTCTTGCAGGTCATATTAAGAAGTTTAGACATTATTCTAGGGTAAAAAGAGGCTTCTGGGAGGATTTTAATCAGGGGTGCGTTACGATCAGATTTGCATTTTAAACAGATCACTTTGGCACTTATAAGGAGCTTGTACTTGTACTTTGGGGAGTCAAGGACAGAGTCAGAGACAAGTTCCAGTGTTTCAAGGGAGATGATTAGAGCTTGAACCAGAGCAGTTGAAGTAGACATGATGCAAAGAGTAAGAGGAGGGAAAGCAAGATATTCAGAAATAAAATCTGCAGCATCTCATGACTGATGGATTTGGGGAACAGTAGTGAAAGAAAGGGAGAGACAAGCTTCTAGCTTGGATAGTTGCCAGAATGGGAAGAAAGGATAGTTTAGTAAAAAGTGTTATCAGTTCAGCATCTAAAATGTTAAATTTATGTTGCCCATGGGGCCCCCAGATGGACTCATCCAGCAGGCAGTTGAATAATTGAATCTGAAGATAAGAAGAATGGTCCAGGCATCTGATAAAATATTTAGAAATTACTAACAATCAGATGATGGCTGGCTGAATCCTGGAGGATAAAATCACAGGAAGAGCACATAGAGAATGAAAGAACAGTGGCTAAGCTAGTGCCTTGGAGACAACCAGTGTGTGCGGGATGCGTGGAGGAAGAGAAAGTGCGAATGACACAGAAAAGGTGTTAGACCTAGAACACAACACAGGAAGGTGGGCCATTGGTGAAGCCAAGAGAATTGAAGACACAAATAAGTGAGTAATCAGAGAGTTGTCTAGTGGCTGAAAAATGTCTTCCAGTTTTTCCAACTAAAAGGCACTACGTGATCTTAGCAAAAGCAGCTTGAGTCGAGTGGTTTGGCTGAAAGTGTGTCACAGTGGGTGGTGAAGTGAAAAAGATGAGAAAGTAAAGAGAGGGAGTATAAAGTGCTCTGTTAGTCGTTTCCTTGAAGATGAGCATAAGGGAAGAGTTACTGAAGAAGACTCAAGATTCACTGAGGTACTCTTTTTCCAAAGAGAAAACTGTATTTCCTAGCATTATTAACTGATACACCTAAGAAAAAAGGCCTGGTGGAATCTATGACCCTTTTATATTTAAATGGTGTAGTGTCCAACACAAGCCTATGTTTCCGACAATATACTGAAAGTATTTTAGAAAATCACACTTTAATTTTTTAAAGTAATTTGGGATGGACTTGACTTTCATTTAACAGAATGTTGTTCTGGTTAATACACAGAATCAACAGAGGAGCTGAAAGTCCGAAGCCACAGCACGGAGCCATTACCAAAGTTGGACAACAAGGAGAGAGGCCATCATGGGGCATCTTCCTCCAGAGAGCCTGTCAAAGCTCAGGAATGGGATGGAACACCAGGTCCACCTGTGGTTACCAGTAGATTGGGAAGATGCTCTGTGAGCCCCACCTTGTTGGCAGGAAACCATAGTTCAGGTAAGAAGGATGGTGACCTTTAGATAGTAATCCCTCCTGTCTCTAGAAACTACTCTCATGCAGTTATCTCTTAGAATTATCTCTGTCTCTACTAAAATAAACAACATAAATAGTCCTTCACATAGGTTACATGAAGAAATACAGCAGAATATTGTACCACTTCATGGTACAACTATTCGCAGAGATCATAGATAAGTGAATGGTGCTTTTTATAGTCACACAAGGCAGCATCCCTGACAACTCAAATAAATTTCTTCAAAAACGTTCAGAGTCCTCAACTAAAGCAATTTTAATTTATGAAGTTTGGGTAATTTCGAGGTTATGTCTCTTTCCTTTGCTTAACAAAATTAGGAAACTAGTTAAAAATGAACAAAAGTAAAATTGAGGACAGAAATGTAACAACGATAATCTGAAGACAGTAGAGAAAGTAGATATTATGAGGCATCTGAAGTGGTGAGCTGAAGACAATGGTCTTTGGGCATGATACTAATTTTCAAAATATAAATCGAAAGAGATAAAAAAATATTTAACTAATATACCTTTAAATTTCATAAGTTGAACTTAAAATCTGTAATGCGATTTGAAATGGTTAATATATAGCTATTATTAAACATCAAATTGTTTTAAAAAAAGCATATTTGTGTTGAACTGATGAATCTTCATTCTGGACTCACGGAGAGCTGTCAATTGAAATAAACAACAAATAATCAAGAAACCTCCTGCAGTTTTCAGGTTTCTATTTCTTAAGAGTGTTAGGGCTCTGAAGAAAAGACCAATCTTTTAATGTTCTTTTCAACTCTGATACTCATCTTAGAAAGCAATTTACATGAATTTAGCCTGTGGTCTCTCAGTCATGTACAAGTTAAAATTGGAACAGGATGTCTGATCTCTGCACTTGGTGAGGAATATTCCTGGAACAGTCCCTAGGCAGGAGCAAAGCAATAGCTTCCCCAGACTTCAAATGTAACTTAAAGCATTGGTGGTGGAGCCGTCGCATATATCATGTGCGTAATCAACTTTAAAGCATGAGTGAAAATCTGGCAGAAGGAACATGATGTGAATTTAGCAGAAATTTCAAAATGTATTTTTGATAGCAAAGTATAAATTGCTATAGGTATACAAGAAGAAAATATGTATGCATTTTATCAAAAAAAAAAGAAACATAGAGAACAAATAGGTTTCTTTGTGTGTGGTGGTGGAGGGCAGTAACTCCTCCCAAAATGGTTGACATCATTATTCAATTAGTGCTTATGATTAATTTGGAGGCTTCTTAGTAATTTTTAAAGACTTATATAAGTTTATACCATTAATTAAACTTTGGGACATTGACATGGGCTAGGGGAGATGACTGGATAGAAAGCACTATTCTATTAATTTACCTCTTAGTACTACAAAAATGGAAAAAATAAAAATAAATAAATAAAAAAGGTTATACCAGTTCCCTTCAAAATTATGTGAACAATATGTGCTCTTATTGTGACCAGAGATGTATTTTGTAAAAACCAGAAGTATTGCCTGTGTACCTAGTTTGTAAAAGCCATTGTTCTAGGAACAGAGAGTATAAGGATGAATAGGATATCCTTGCAGTTAGGTGCTCAAAGTATAGTGCAAGACAGTCAGATAATTGCAGTATAATCTGTGTTGCAGTAAGGGTTATCCAGTGAAACACAACCATTAGGATATTTATAGATATATAGAAAAGTCTTTCTTTTGAGGGGTGGGTTCACATAATTTTGGAGGCTTAGAAGTCCCATGATCTGCTATCTGCAAATTGAAGACCCAGAAAAGCCAGTGGTATAATGCTAGTCCAAGCTTAAAGGCCCCAGACACATAGGAGCCAATGGTGTAAGTTCCAATCTGAGTCCAAAGGTCCAAAACCCAGAGTGCTGATGTCCAATTGCAGGAGAAGATGGATGTTACAGCTCAAGAAGAGAGAGTGACTTTGCCCTTCCTCCTCTTTTTTGTTCCATTCAGGCCCTCAAAGGATTGTATAATGCCCATTCACATTGGTGAGGGCAATTTTCCTTATTCAGCCTACTGATTTAAATACTAATGTCTTCCAGAAACACCCTCTCAGATATACCTATAAATAATGTTTTACCAGCTATCTGGGCATCCCTTAACCCAGTCAAGTTGATGTATGAAATCACATGTGTTATATAAAAACAATATGTGAAACAGAAGATGTCCTAGTCCATTTTGTGGTGCTATAACAGAGCACCTAAGGCTGGGCAATTTATAAAGAAAAGAGGTTTATGTAGCTTACAGTTCTGCAAGCTGGGAAGTTTAAGAAGCATGGCAGTGTTATTTGCTCACCATGAAGGGAGGACTTTTGAGCTGGGTCAAAACATGGTGGAAGGTCAGAGGGAAAACAGATACATTGGAGATGGCCATCCTGGCTTTATAACAACAGACTCTCATCACTGTCTCCAGAACAGCACCAAGCCATTCACAAGGGATCCACCACCATGATCCAAACACCTCCCAATGTTCCCCACCTCCCAACACCGCCACATTGAGGATCAAGTTTCAACATGAGTGTTGGTGGGGACAGACCACATCTGAACCGTAGCAGTAGAGAAATCAATTACTTCTTCCTGAGAGAGTATGATTCGGGCAGAAATAACAGGGGCTTTTGGTGGATAAAATATAATTGCTTGAGGAGGTTACACCTGAACTGCAGCTTGAAACAAGGAGCTGGTCATCAGGAAGATAAAGAAAGAAACCTCCCTTCTGGATGAAAACCTAAAAGTCTAAAGGATGGAACAAAGTGTGTTTGGTGTGAAGAGTGGAGGAAGATTGACTAAAGAAACTGCAAAGGTAGGTGGTGACAAGATAGCAAAAATCCTGAAGGTCTTGCTTATTAATTTGAAATGCTTTCAGCTATAAAGTACAAATTACCAGCGGCTTATGCAATAACGGCCTTTGCTCCAGTAGCATCAAGTCTGGAGGTAGGCAGTTCCAGGTGTTTTGTAGCTGCTCAGGGATGTCATCAGTGACCCAAGAACTTTCTGTCCTCCCAACTCTCCTGCTGCTCTTGAAAATTGTTTTCACAATCAGGAGCTGACTACACAGTTCCGGGCACCATGGCTGAGAAGACTCACTCTTCCATCTAATTGGTCAGAACTGGAAAACACGTTCTTTGGGCCAATCACTAAGTGAAGGAAAATGGGATTTCCATGGATTTGTAGAAAGCTTTTCTTTCCCCTAAGTCAATGGGGCCTCTGTCTTCCATCTGGAAATGAAATTGACAATCTGTTAACAGAGATAAGAGGGGAATGATGTTGCATAAGCAATGGACAGTATCTGCCACATCATGGTTAGGTTTTGAGCATTGTGTGTAGAGGTGTAGAGCGAGGTTCAGGAGGGAAAGTCAGGAATTAAATTTTGACTGTGTTAAGTTAAAAGTGCTCTGGGACATCCAACTGAGAAGCCAGTAGACTGTTAGAAGAATTATAGGTCTGGAACTAAAGAGATTTTGTGGGATTTCAGGTTGAGATTAGAGACATTGGAGTGGAAACTGAGATGAAAAGGAAACTAAGATGGGACCCTGGGGAATTGCAACATTTTGAAGGTGGGCACAGGAAGAAGAATCTGTGAGATACATAGAAATGAAACAATTAGTCCACAATTAAACTTTCACTGAATGCCTAGTAATACATATTCGTACACATATATATCATATAGTGTCTTTGACAATCTGACATGAATCTTCTACTAAATTTAGAGTGTAAACTAAATTTATACCATACTTTCGCTGTCCTCTGCTTCAAAATTCTGAAACATCTCTTTTGGTTTATGGCATCTAAAATCTTCTCTCCTGAGTCTTTTAGCTCTGTTTGTAGAGCAGGAAATTGTCTACTGACCAGAATAAATGACACAAATATTTTTAGTCCCTCATATTCTTTATCTTGGATCAGGAAGGAGGTAGACAAATATGAAAGAAGAAAGGATTTATGTTAAATTTTCAAAAGTGAAAGTTTGTATCCATATTAAAAGAAATGCAAAATATAGAGTCAAATGTCCAGTCACATGTATAATGTCAGTTCAAGTAAGAGTTTCCTATGCGAAAGTGAAACTTAGATGAGCATTACTATTACTTGCAACTGTAGTCCACCCTTCCACCACTTTTGAGGAATAAAAAGGAGAAAAGGAAAAATTTTTGTTGCATCATTAGCTTTTATTTTTCTGAAGAGAAAGAACCTAAAATATGCCAATTCTTAACTAGAAAATGCCATAGTTCCACTAGCAAACATGTATAACATAAGAGTATCTGAAGTTCATTCATCTTTGTTATTTTAAACAAACCACACGCTACTTGAAGAATATTTATCAGTGAGATGGTCTTAGTCCAACATAGGCAAGTAACTATATGAAGAAGGAATTTTGGACTTGTTATTTTGGAACAGAAGGGAATGAGTCAATTTTAACTGTTTCTCCTTCTTTTCTTTACACTTCCTCATTATTGTGTCCTTGATGGGCCACTGAACTACTAATCCCCTAACAGAAATACTAGAACTGTAATCTATAACCCTATAACCCTCCTCTCTGAATAACATAGATATTCAACTCCACATCTAACACTAGAGAGGAAAGAAGATTCTATCTATAAACTCCTTTCTCCCTCTGTCAACTCTCTCTTTCTGTGTGTGTGTGTGTGTGTCTCTGTCTCTCTGCCTGTCACTCTGTCTGTCTGTCTCTGTCTTCACCCCAACATACACATTTGGCATACAAACTTGTACCAGTCACAGACTATTGCTTTACCAAAAGTAGTTTAGCCACTTGAAATGGTTGTTCCTAACAGCTCTTTTGAGGAATGGAAGAATTGATGAAGTAAAGCAAAAGTGTCAGGAGATCTCAATTCTAATTAACATTGCCACTGGTTGTTCTGGTACTTTATTAAAGTCACTGTTGTTTAGTAAATCAGAGAATCCCCCGAGGGCAATTCTTGAAGGCAGTGGAGAACTGGGACCCAAGTGCTTGTGAAAATAATGGGAAAA